ATTAGGGACAGATTTGCTATTTTTACACTCAGAATTTTTTGTTTGTTTCCCACACATTCCTAAAAATTCTTGAGGAATCAAGTGAAATGTGTGCAATTCTACTAACAGAAACACAAAGACAAAATGAGGGAAAAAAAAGTATCAGCATTCACCATCAAGAAGAATGAAATTCATGTTAAATTGACATGAAACAATTCACATTTTAAAAATAAGTTATACTGCTGTACCTGCATCAGCTTCAGGCATTTTGTACAGCCTTTGTGCGACGGTGAAGCCTGCACAGGTAGAACAAATTCTGGCACTGTAAGAACCTACGCAACATTTTATGGCCATGATGATCCAGGATGAAGTTCTAATTTTATGTGCTTCCAGTCTTTCACTTGTTGGTATCTCACCTGTTGGCTACAGGGAAATCCCAGCATTCCCTGTAACAAGACTTTGCCAAACAATGCTTGCCATTTGGGATCATACTTTTGCAATACTTCAACTAAGGAGCATGCTTTTCCATCGTAACATCAGAATGTTACAGTACCTCACAGAGAGTCATCAAGGATGTCATGCTGTGATTTCCCTTCAACACTACTTTGAACCCACTGATTTTGGTATTTCTGCCACACTTCCAATGTTCTTAACACTGTCTTTCTGTCTTTCTGAGTGGGACCAACATTTATAGACAGAAAACAACGGATCATTGTCACCTTCTGGATCAAAGTCACCTAACATAGAGTAAGGTAGCCAAAACTTAATATTAAACTACTGAAGGACACCTGTATTCTACAAATTACATCTGTGTGGATTTAGCTAACTTCTAAATAGGAAGGCATCTCAAAAATAACCTCATCCTACCTATAACTCATTTCTCAGAGATATTCCCCACCTAGGGACATTCCCCATATTTGCACAGTTATAAGCTACCTTTTTTTTTTTTTAAATACTGCAGAAACACATCATTCCAAGGGTTAGAATTAAATACTTAAAAATGCCTACACTTTGGCAATATGCCATAGTAAGTATGGCCATGGCATTTATTTTCTGTTCTTTTTATTCTCAAAATATACTCATTACCAAGCTAGCAAAAATCCTAAACATGTATCATGTAGCAAAGTTCAATCAATTTAGAGATCAGAATAACTAAACTGTTATATTTATTTACTGTCTGTTGCCCTAGGCCAGAAAGTACGCTGCAAATCCAATTCATAACTCTCCATGAAGAGCCAGAGGCAACCAGTCCAACACAGTGTTAAGCGTTAAGCAGGAGGCCATGTCAGCAGCTCATTTCTTGGTTACTGTTTAACCGTATGTGAAGGTGATTTTAGCACTTATGTTCACAAAACCATACTGTCTTACGATGGTCCAGAAATGACAAGGAAAGGAATAGAATTTATCTGGAAAAGTAATTAAGAGCCAGTTAGAACAAAACTGCCTTCGTGCAAGAGCCATTCAGAGAGTCTTTTATAAGAAAGTCTTATTAACACTATTGGGATTAGCGTTTTCACATCTTAAATCTTTCCCACTGGCCACTTTTTTGAAGGTAGTCCACCAGAACAAAACAAAAAATAAATAAATAACACAACCCACAGCCAACCCAAAAGAAAACAAAACAAAACAAAAACACCCTTTACAATGCAAGAATGTTTTTATTCAAAGCAACACCTCTGTTAATACTCTGTGTTATCTATTACAGAACCTCTTCCACCTGAACTACCAGACAGTGAGAAAGCAAATTCATCTGTTCTCTTTGAAATTCTGTAAGAAATGTCTAAAACTTGGGCATCTATGCTGGACCTGTCCACTGCAACTTCCAAAGAAGCTATGTGCCTGCACACAAGCAGTACAATTTACGGACAGTACTACAGCTGAACCTGGTAACCTGTCTCGTCAAGAAGACAAGACCTTACAGATGCCTGAGGAGTAAGGTAACGGACACAGGACGCTGAGTGACGGAGGAATTTTCCTGGCCTATTAAAAGTTAGGAGATGAGCTTTTAAGTTATTGTATCTTCAGATAAAATAATTTTTGAGCATTGTTGCCAGATTTTATGTATGCTGTATTAGCAGAGAGGTGCAGTAAAAGCTGCTAATGGCATATGCCTTCATTAACTCCAGGAACATATAGAAAACAGTGAGGTTTCAAAAACTGAAAAAAATCACAGTGTCCTTTATAAAATAAATACACAGCTACAGCAAGCAGCAAAAATTCAAATAATTGGATTCTGTTAATCTGTGGGGACACGGACTTAATGCTGCATTTAATTTTGCTAAGTGGGAGGAAGATTAAGCAAGATACAAACAATAGTCTCTGCTCAAATCATAGAAATTCACAAACTTAAGCACACTAGGACAGTTATTAATTACCAGATTGGGATATTTTGATGTATTCAGACTAGAGCTACAAAACAAACTAATAAACAGTTACCCTCCTAGAGAAGAGGAAAATATTTACGTTCCAGTACACACATTCCCAATAGTCTTTAAAAAAAAGAAGTGAACTGCTAGATAGCAAGCACTGTTCTCTTATGAAATACTGGAAAAAGCTTACTTTAAGGACTTCTTAAAGTAAACTTCTTAAAACTTCTGAAAGAGGCAAGCCACACACTGATACAAACCCAATCTCTGTCTAGAATCTCTGACAGAAAAGCTGAAACTCATTCTCATCATCTCTGTCACTGTCACAGAGGAGCAGCTGTTGGGACCTGCACTTGTTTGCTCTCTGTGGTTCCTGCAGGGGAAAAGCATTTTAACTCACATCAGAATTTAAGCTTTTCAAATGTAGTATTTCTGTGTCATAATTCGCTGTTTTGAAACAACACTCGTTCCACACTGCTCTCAGTTTCAATGTGTTCTTCCCTGAAATAATTTTGAAGTGAAATCAGAGTGGATAGCAACAACCGCTTAGCATTTGCAAAAATCGCTCCTAAAACTTGAGGGAGATCAAAACACTATTTTTAAATTGAAGCTTTCCTTGAAAATCACGAGTATCTACAGCACACTTGGTTCAGTGCCATACTCACAGAATATCAACTGATTCATGCACTGTGCAACTTTTTAATATTGAGAAGTGTACTGTACTTTCAAAACGAGCATCCTGAAGGACTCTGAAGCAAAAAGTATACTAGTATCTTTAAGCAAAAGAGAAAAAAAGCTCATAGTCCTTGAAATTTTTAAAGCTCTGATTATTTTCAGTTACCTAAAAAAATCTTATTGGCATCTTTTGCAAAACAGCATGACTGTTTCTTAACACTTTATGTTCCTTCATGATGGACAGTTGGGAGAACTAACAGCACCAGCATGGCTCAATGTGAAATAATTAAGCTGCTGTGCCTGCTGGGAGCCAGATATCCAAGCCTAAATGCATCTGCTGCCTAAAATACAGGCTCCTGGATACCAAAGCACAATGCCAGCACTCTCTCCACTCAACTCCAAACACCTCTCAGCAGTTTTGGTCTGACACATGAATTGCTAAATGATATTAAAGACAAAAGCATATCGAACTAAAAAGAATGGGAAAACTAAGGAAAATACATCTTTCTGCATGCATTTTCCACAATCTTTGGCTACATAACAAAGAAAATGCATTGTAGCTCCAAATGTCAATTCAAAGAATGTTGATGAAACTCTTGTGTAATTAATTGTTCTTTCTCTGTGTAATTCCTCTGCACAAATCACTCTGGTGTCTAAACTATCCCAGCAATTAAAACTCTGAGAGCTTTTTTTTCTTCTGTCCCTTAGTAAACATTGATCTAATTTGTGAAAAGATGAGGTCCAACTTTTAAGGTTTTTTTTTTTTTTTCATTCCATTATTACATTTGTGAGGTTAAATTAAAGCAAAATTAAATAGAGGCACTATTCTTACACTGCCAGCAGTTAAAATGTGTAACACAGAGTTTTCATTAGCATTGATTAAAATAAATTTGTCTTCCTCTGTCACCAAGCGGAAGGCTCACATCTTATTACTGTATGCCTGGAAGAAGATAAGCACGGGTTTTAAGTAAAAAGAAGCAAAAACATTTCAAATACTTCTTCATTCTTTTTGTTCTTGATTACTTTTGCCCACACTGGGAGCACACCTTAGCAAACACTGGAGTCTACACCAACACACAGACAAGGGTGTGTTTTAAAGAGTTAATGTCTGGAAGAGCTGCAACACTCAAGAGCTTTATTCTATGAAACTCATGTGAAAGATGAATGGGAAAAGGGTTTTTTCTGACGGTCTGCCTTGCAAATTCAGACTAAGATCTCAAGAAAAAAACTAGACGGTGCTCTTCTATCATGTAGCAGTGATCCATTAGTCTATCACGTATTTTAGGCAGCATTTTCAGAAATACAAACATAACTGATGTTTGACAGAAAGCAAAATGCAGCATTCTGTCCAGAAATTAGTCTGTCTCTGCACTGCTAAACTACTAACTACAGACAGCTCCGACACCCATCGCCGCCAAAGCACAACTTGGGGCTCCACACGAACAGAGGCGGGAAGGCGTTGTTTTCACACAGTCCCCAGTCAAGCCACAGTTTCACAACACTACCAATAACCGAGCGCAGGTAAAGCAGACAGGGCAGCGGGCAGTTCAGACTGACCCGGGGGACCCTCAGGACTTGGCGATCAGTGCTTATGGAAGCGCACCTGGCAGCATCGTGTGAACGGCGGACGCAGCGCGGCTAAAGCACCTCAGCGCAGAAAGCGCGCTGCGTGTCACCGCAAGCCGCCGAAGCGCACAGCTCTCGTTCCGAGAGGACAGCGCTCAGGACAGCGCGGGCTGCGTGCGGCCGACACGGCCGAGGACGGCCGGCGGAAAGCGCCCGCTGCGGTCCCGCAGCTCGACAGCCCGTCCGACACCTGTTGGGCTCCGCGGGGTGCGCAGGTGCGGCTCCCGCGGATTTCGACGAAGAGAACGCGTCGGAAGTAAGGCGGCAGGTGAGGCGGGAGGAGGCGAGCCGCTCCGCGCGCCCTTCCCTCACGGTTACGCAACGCCCCACCCGCCCCCATCCCGCCGCCGGTACCTGCTTGTCCAGCGCCGCGTCCTTCGCGCTGCCGGCGGCCGCGCCCTTGGGTGCTGGTGTCCGCTCGCAGCTGCAGCCCTCCAGCATGTAGATGCCGGCGGGCCGGGCGCTCTGCTCGCTCTCGAAGTAGAAGAGGACGTTCTGGTAAAGGGCGAACCACTTCTCGTGCCAGCGGTTGGCCTCGGCCGTCCTCTTGCTCAGGTAGCCGCGCTTGGTGCCCTCCTTGCGGGCCAGCAGCGCCAGGTACAGGGCGTGCCCCTCGTTATACCGCACGCTCTTCTGCATGGTGCCCGGCAGCGCCTCGCCGCTCACAGCCCGCCCGACATCGGACACCCCTCGCGGGCGCCCAGCGCGCCGGCACCGGCTGCGCCGGGCAGCCCCGGCCCCCGCCCCGCGCTCCGCCCGCCTTCGTGCGCGCCGCCTCCCCGAAGTTGGGGCCCGGCCGGAGCGAGCGGGCGGCGGCAGCAGCAGCAGCAGCTGCTGCCCCTCGAGCAGCGTCACGTGGCGGAGATCAGCCGCAAAGCCGCTTTACAGCCCAGCGATTTAAAGAGCAAAGTCGCCGCCGCAGCGCATGGTCCCTCCCTCCGCGCCTCGCGGGGCCGCCCCCCTCCAGCCCGCAAGGATCGGCGCGGGGGCGGCGGGCAGCGGGGGGCGGCAGCGAGCGCTCGGGAGGGAGCGGGACGGGAAGGGAAGGAACGGGACGGGACGGCGCTTCGCTCGCTGTCGCGCCCAGCCTTCCTACTTCTCTCTGAGAAAAACCTTCGAAAGCGCCGGGTCGCAGTGCGCGGGGTCGGTAACTCGGTTCCGCGAGCTGCGCGGCGAATAAAAGCGCAAAAACCCGCCACTTTTAACCCGGTTTTCGGCAGTCCCCCGCTGCCAAGAGGGGACGTTGACCCCGCCCGGTAAGTGCTGCCGCAGCTCGGGGGGGCTGCGCTCTGCTGGGAGCTGTGCGGAGCTCGGCACAGCCACAGCTGGGCGGAAGGACGGGGGCGGGCAGACCCCCTCGTGAGGGATAAGGTGTGGAAAAGGCGCTGCTACCAGCAGTTCTTTTACGTAAAACATAGGCAGCGTGGAAATTGCTGCTCGCTTAAGGACCCCGGTGTTATTTAAGCTTTTCTGGCTCCTTCACCTTTGAATCTTTTTCAGTTAAAACGTATTTGTGCCTTTTTTGCTTTGGAGAGAACTTACAAAAGAACACCGGACCTCTTGCTGTCCATCTGAACAACACCTGGAAATTGCAGTAAACGATGTGCCTTACATGCGGGTTGTGAAATACGCGTGATTTCTCGCAGCAGTGATGATTCTGTGTGTGGCTGATAAACACACAGCCCCATGCAGAGCACACTCTCGGACACACAACTTTATGTAAGGAGAAGCAAGCATACAGAAGTTCTGCTGAAACTGGCTATCTTCAGATTAGGGTTCAGATGGTGAGCTCAATACATGGTGCCCAGGGTAGTCCAGCTTTTGGACAGGAACTGAAGAAACATCGTGTGGATGACTTGCATGTATGACATGATCCATAGTCAGGCGTGTTGATGACCGGGTTCTTACTTGGATCTTACTTCTGCGTCTTTGGTTCAGCATCACTCAGCCCTGTGCTGTCAACTCAGTGTGTGAAACATCATGAGATGCTGCATTTCTTGGTAGAAGCAAATGTCAATTAAGGGGAAGATGTAGGGTGCAGTTTTCAAATACTTGAGACTGCATGAATAAATAGGTTTTTTTTCCAAAAGAAACACATCCATGTCGTGACCAAAAGCTATAGTACAAACCTGTATTTGCCAAAATAAGATTTCAAGTTTTGCCTCAATTTGACTCATTTATATATTAATGTGCTGTTTGCGTAAATCAGAAACAGTTATGTCTGTTCTACCATACCAGCTTCAACATACGTTAAAAAATGATGACAGTTATTTCAACTACAAAATGAAGAAAGAGGATTTAACTTCACTGCATTTTCTTCTAGACAAGCAGGCATTTTTCTTACACTGAGAATGCCAGTGTGTCATTGCATAGCAATCCACAGGAATTACGAGGCATCTAATGTTCCTGTTCACTGAAGTAAACGTTGATTGTGCAACCATCAGTTTGCTGTGAACTTCTCTACTTTATTTTGCAGATTATGGCATAGTTATACCAGGGATAAGTTCTTCATCACTTGGTTGTTTTTATAAAACACAACCCGGGTTTTACCATTTTAAATGCTTACCGTATAATATTCAATACATCTAAAGGCATGCGAGTAAATATTTTTCTTCTAACTTCATTGCCAGCAATGAAGAAGTATTTTTTACAGAAAGCAATGCTGAATTGTATGTATGTAGAATACGATCAAGCTGTTTATGTAGACATGGATGTAAGGGAATCTGTTGATGTAATTGGTATCATGAGGTTCTGAAGGACATACACACAAGCACGCTGTTTCACCTTATTTTCATTGCTTCTTCCTTAAATAACTCTTCTTTTGTGTATTTTCATTCCAGAGGATAATTTGTAAAACCACATCCCTGAGTATGGCAGTATTATGCGCCCTAAGGAACTTTCCGTAAAACTGGTGGCTGGCTGGAAAGTTAAACCAGCTGAGACTGGTTAAATTATTCTAGCCTGTATTGTCTTGAAATTTTCCTTGGGAGGTAATTCATTGCAAGTTGTTTAACACTAACATAAATAGCAAAATACATACCAATGCATATGATGGTGTGAGTGCTGATGTTGTTGTGGGACCACTGTGTTGCTTGTGAGGGCAAGTCAGTGAGTTGTCACACTTCTGATTGACAGGTGTCAGGAAAGTCTGTTTCATAATGCATGTAAACAGCTTCAGTTCTGAAAAACTCTGGTAAAAATAATGGTAATATAATGGTAATAAAAATTGCTTGAAGCAGTGGAAAAGTGTTGTTCTGCTGTCATTTTTGTGTCTGGTTTTGTCTGGTTTTGCTGTATGTTTTTGTACATTTACAATGCTTTCTCTTCATTTGTCACTAGGTTGTGATAGTAAGTCATTATTTACCTTCATGTGTCAAGGTAACATATCAAATACAAAATAGTTTTGTAAGGCTGTTGAACAATGACTACAATATCTTAAGGGGAAGAAATTACATTTCACTAAGAATGCACATGTGTATCTCTCAGTACACTCTGAAAGGCAGAACTGACCCAGTATCTTCATAATTATACTCATGTTTTACTGACATCGTGGTTTACTCTTTAAGGCACAGAACAGGATTTGTCCATTTAAAAGGTGCTTAACACATTTGTCTACAAATTAGAGAGTATAATAACACGGTTTAAAAGAACACATTTTCAGCTACAAAACACTATTTTTCACCAGTCACCAGTCAGCACTTTAAGCATAATAGTAATTACACCGTAGCTCTATGCAAAGCATGAGTAGTGCCTCTGATGCCTCTTGTTCATCCTTCCAAGAAAGAACATTTGCAATCATTTTTAGAAAAAAAAAAAAGCATCGATGTTCTGTGTGCAGCAGAAACATCTAGTTACAACACAAGTAAGGGCTACCTAGCAGCTTTGTATCTCTGCACACAGAGATTCACCTGGATTCAAAGCTCTGGGAAAAGGATATCTGCTGCTGTATTGAAGGGTAACAAAGTGACTCCTCCTTTCAGTGGCAGATCACAGCAGAAGGCAGGTATCTGCAAATCACTTTGCTGTTATGCTTTTGAGGATATAAACGTAGTAGTCTAATCCTGAGCTTCTTTGTGCTCAGTGCTATGGAAAAGCTTTATGTACTGCCTATTCTGATAGGCACAACAAACTTATTTGTTGGTGAGATTCTGGGGGAGTGATAGTGAAAGGGAATTTTAAAGGACCTTTTGAAATAAGTAATATCGTGTGTCTGGAGAAGTCACTGGAGAGCACCGTGGTCAGAAACAGCATGGAAAAAAAGTGATAGGACTACCAAAGAAAGAAAATTGCAGAAGCTGTCTTACAGTTACAGAAAAAAAAAAAAGAAAAAAAAAAGAAAAAAAAGAAAAGCTGGAATCAAGGGACTCAATTAAATTGAAAAATAATATAGCCATACTTAGGCAGGAGGCAGAAGAAAGTGGGAAGTGGAGGAATTCCGCCTGTTTGGCAGGCTGATTATAATGAGTGCACTGCAGATGAAGTGCAGAGGAAGCCAGAAGCCAGCATTAAGCAAGGATGAAAATGGCTGGGGAATTGGAGAAGACAGTATTAGGAGCACAACAGAGAAAAGCAGGGGAAGAAACTAGTGGGAGGTGCTGGTGGAGATAGAGTCACAGAGAAGACAGTGTTGTTAGGGGTGACAGAGCTAGCTGTGGCTAGTGGTTACATTGGAAAAACAGGTGGTCACTGAAGAAATAGAATTTAACAGCAGAGACCATGGGGTTGTGCTAGGCAGTGAGAGGAAAACAGACAGGTACACTGCGGAGTGGACTGAGGGGGCTGATGGGCAGTAGCATGGAAGAGAAGAATCAGGTAGCGTAAGTCCAATACAGAAAATAAAGTGATGAAGTGACAGGAGGAGATCAAAGTTAATGCTGACAACGAAAGTAGCATTGACAACGTGGAAATGCTAGTAGTCCGAGTCACTGTTAACATGCTATAGGAAGGAAAGACACCATTTTGCTCTTCAAGCCTTTGTTTCAAAAGGCTTCTTTCAAGTTTCAGAAGGCTTGTTTCAAGTTTTTTTGTTTCAAAAACAGCAAAGATTCATGGCTTCACCAAAGGAAAGTTGTGCTTGACCAATCTGGTGGCCTTCTGTGGTGGAGTGCTAGCATACTGGACAAAGGAAAGGCAACTGATGTCATCTACCCAGACTTCTGCAAGGCCTTTAATGTGGCTCCCACCACATCCTTACCTCTAAACCGGAGATATATGGATTTGAAGGTTAGACTATTGGGTGGATAATTAATTGGTTGGAAGGTCCCAGCCAGAGGGTTGTGATCAACGGCACTATGTCCAGTAACAAGCAGTGTCCTCCAAGGGCCTGTCTTGAGTCCAATACTTTTTAACATTATTATCAATGACATAGATGATGGGATTGAGTGCACCCTTAGCAAGTTTCCTGATGATGCCAAGCTGAGCAGTTGATGCAGTGGAAGGAAGGGATGCCATCCAGAGGGGCCTTGCTAAACTCAGAAGGTGGGCCCTTGTTAACCTAATGAAGTTCAACAAAGCAAGGTTTTGCACTTGGGTCGAAGTAGTCCCATATATGTATACAGACTGGGAGATGAACTTCTTGAGAGTATCTCTGCTGAGAAGGACTTAGGAGTCCTGGCTGATGAAAAATTTAACATGAGCCTGCAGTGTGAGCTTGCAGCCTGAAAGGCC